TTTACTACTTTAGATTATTCATGTTAAATTGTTTTTATATTAGTCAACCAGTTATAATAAATATAAATATTTTTTAAAAATAAATTTTAATTTCAATAGAAATGCACTCATAGTCGGCGTTAATATTATTTCGGAACAGATAGCCCGGGCTATTGTCGATAAGTTATTACCAGTTTATTAAAAAATTTTACAACATGGTAAATAGTTTTATCCAATAGTTAAATATGTTTGAAATTGTTAATAATTAATAAAGCAATCTAATTATTTGTTAAAATTATTTAAATTTAAAGATAAAGTTACTGTAATTTTAATTCAATTATATATAAAATTTAAATACAATTGTGGATTTTCATAAAACCATAATTTTTGGTAGTTATAATTAATAAATTTTTTTTATTTAGTCACCTTGGATATCTTTAAAAATTAATTGTTTTTTATATCGTATTAATTTTTCAGACCTTAAAACTTTTTAACATTTAAATTTATTAAGACTATAAGTTTAGTAATATATTGTAAATTATAAAAATAGGCTATTGTTAAATTGTATAATGGGGATATTGATATTTCTTAACAAAAATATGTGCTTGAGAATAATTCAAACATAAAATTTAACATTCTTTCAATACAGGTATTATTCTTACAATTTTAACCAAACAGTAGTATTAATATATTTTTTCAATACATTTTTAAATGTAAATAGATAATAATTAATTGATTCCTCAAGCAAACAAAATGTGTGGATTACATGACCATGTTGAGTTTTTTCATACATTACACATTTGCAGAATATTTGTATGGACTAAAATCATTTTCACTGAATACCAATCGGATTTGAGTTAAATGAATATTAGGCCTCATAAATGACAATTGTAAGCGACCCTGANATTTGAGTTAAATGAATATTAGGCCTCATAAATGACAATTGTAAGCGACCCTGATCACTTTGTGAGTGAACATAACTGAATACGGCAAACCGTATATCTCCTACTGTTGCCGCGAATTTACATTGACAATCCAACATTAACTGTACTTGATTATCAGAAATGTATTTTTCGTAATAAAGTAGAAACTTGGTCCCTTGTGATAAATAATAAAATGCGCCTGGGTCACCTAACATTTCCCTGAATATTTCCAAATTTTCCCTTGATGCTAATATGTGTTCGGAATCGTCATTATCTTCATTATATGGTATTTCATCCATTTTTGCGTCAATGAACTCAAATAATGTGTTAACCATACGGTGATCATCAAAACGGTTAATAATAATGTTCCGGGTAATTGGCTTAACACTTGGGGGGTATGTATATATTCTACCCCCTGATTTTGTTTTAATCGCATCGTGGTCTAAATAATAAACAAATATTTTGACGCACTTGACCTGGTCAGCGTTATACGAATGCAAATAGCGTAGGCTATCCCAGTTAATCAATGTCATACCATTGCCTAATATATAATCCCGGTAAATGACACAGTTCCAATCACCATAATAATCTAGCGTAGGAAGATTAGCAACTATGAACTGTTTTATTAATTCTGGTGACGAATGGACAGCAAACGCGTGTTTAATCGTGGTCATACATTGCATCTTAACATGCTCATCCAAATTTGAATCGATAGTTAATTCATCGGCAATAATTGTGCTGGCTATTTCATCAAATTCCTGCGTCCAATACCAATAAAACCCGTGCCAATACTCGTTAGATATACCCGTTTTGGAATCTTTTCGAAATTCATCAAGATCAATCTCAATATGCTGTCTAAGCTTGGTATAAATTATATAATCTGTGAGGGGAATCATTTTCACTCTATCGGTATTTCTATTTACGGCAATCGAGTAAATTAAGGGGTCATCGATGATGTCGGTTATTTCAACCCTCCAACCATTTTGCTGTTCCTTTATATTTAAACAAGATGGTCTCTTGGATGAATCCGGATTGACCATTTCTTGCAACAAACCTAGCACGCCACATTTAATATTCATCCAACGTACAAAAGGATCGTTTTTATCCCTACTTTGGGTATAATCTATTTTCGTACCTCTCCTATAAAATCACAGTTAATTCAGTTATAATAATAATATTACTGCACAATAATAATGGCCTTGTTATTTTGTGATGAATATTATATATGAGACACAACATTCTGATATAAATTATGCAAGCGAACTGTAAACTTTATTATTTTATTTACTACTATATTACATTCAATTTGAGAATAATATAATTGATCGCCCATGTCTTGAAAACCGGTATGTATTTTCAATGTATACTGTATACATAACATAATCATAGCACAATAGTATTGTATTAATAGTATGTCACATATCACATAGAATACTATGAAATACAATGATTATGTTATGAATACAGTTTGCATTGAAAAATACATACCGGTTTTTAAGACCTGGACTATCAATTATTATACGATGCCCACTTGAGCCATTTGCGGCCACACTATGAGTGACAAAACTTTAAATATTTTAACATTAATCTCTATACTGACTAATGTTGTAATATTCACTGTTAATGTGGCCCAGATTACAATGTGTGCGCATCGATATTACGTGTGTGCGCAATGTATATGTCGTATTTTAGATATTAAACTAAATAATAATATACTTTAATCAGTGAAATACTTATAATGAGTAATCTACTAAATATTTTTAATTTACAGATTTTAAATGAACTCACTTATTATATTAAATAAATGCATTTATAATAAGGAAAAACAGAGCTTCAGTTTAGAGTTTACTTGCATTGACACGTTGTACGCTTCAGAATAGGTCTTTTCATACAGTATATTAATAAAAAATTAATTACCAAATATTGCATAATTCTTGACCCATCACTCCCATACTGTAAATATCACATTGCTCATCGTAAGTCGTCGAATTTGCAACTTCAGGTGCCATATATTTCAGCGTGCCACATTTTTGGGAAAGTTCAATGTACTCTTTTATTCTTTGATGATCATGGTCTTTTATATTATTATATTCCACTGCTAAACCAAAATCGCCAACCTTAATAAAATTGCCGTTATTGCCGTTGGTAACAAATATATTATCTGGTTTAATATCACGGTGGATAATTATTGGTATTTGTGAATGCAGGTAATGAACAGCGTTTAAAATTTCATTCAAAAATAAAGTTGAGATATATAAGCCTATTTTTATTATGGTTGTCTGTTCACATTTATTTAGTTCTTGGTTAATTTTCTTGATCGCCTGTTTTAATGTCATCGGACACAACTCCATTTGTATGTGCAATACATTTCCAACACTTTTAGTGTAAAACGGGTCAAAGGCTATATTTTTAAGCATTGAATTAACTGAGGTTGCTACAATATTTTGAATATCAGGTTCATTCGTGACGTGTTCGTACCAAAAGGTATTTAATTGAATGAAATGATTTGACAAGCTCACTTTCGCCCATAACCGTATCTCATTTTCAAGATGCTTTTTCCATGATTCATTTAAATCTATATATGCAAATGATTTACTTAAATTTTAAAATTATAATAAATTTTAAAAATTATTATAGAATGTACCTTTTAATTTAACTTTTTTAATCGCATAGGTGATTTTATCACATATATTGCGTGCCTTATAAACCTCACCGAACCCGCCATAACCAACCATTTGAATAAATTCGAATTCTGTATTAAATGTACATTGTTTAAGTGGCCATGGGTATTTCATTTGATGATGTGAGCTGGTTAAATAATTATAAGTTCTCTTGCAATATACAGCAGATATAATAATCACCACAATACCAATTATTAGCAGGCATATATGGTAGTTGGAATTAATAAATTCAATAAATACAAAAGATAAATTGTCCATATTTAGTAAATTATTTATTTATAATTGGCGGAGATATTCAGTAATAATTTGCTTATATGATATTATATGATATGGCAGAGCTATTTATTTTTCAAACAATAGATATGAATGAGTTTTTAATATCATGTTAATTGAGTTCATTAAAAAACTATAAATTAAAAATTCAAACATTTAGTACATTATTAATACTTATCCGTTTAATGTCTATTTTTCTATTTTACGATAGACACTTAACATGTTATTAAAAAACTCAATCATATATATTTTACATCCATTTATCATAACGTTGTCTATCACCATATATATTACTGGTATATTATTAAAATACTAATACAAATATAATAAATGAAATAAAAGGATTGATAACAATTTTATGGTAACCGCAACACACGTGTAACTAATGCTAATCTTATAGTTAATGCTAAATGCATGGGAGAGTGGGCCCAATGATAATGCTATAGTTTCACTACTATTTCATCCATAATTTCTTAGGCTATAAAAATTTATTAATTAATATGGTATTAATAAGCGACAACAACTTTTATTATGCGTTTGCAATCTTTATTGCTATGGCATTAGGCCCACTCTCCCATACATTTAGCATTAACTATAAGATTAGCATTAGTTTCAAGTGTGTTACGGCTGCCATGAAATTGTTATCAATCCTTTTATTTCATTTATTATATTTGTATTAGTATTATGATAATATACCAGTAACATACAGTGGTAAAGACAACGTTATGAATACTAGATATAAAATATATATGATTGAGGTTTTTTAATAACATGTTATGCCATAGCAATGTAGATTGCAAATGCATAATAAAAATATTTGTCGATTATTAATACCATATTAATTATTAAATTTTTACAGCCTAATAATTTATTGATAAAATAGTAATAAAACAGTGAAACTATAGCATAATAATATCATAAAATATTATCCCTAATGAATTGTGATCGTCAAAGCTAATGATTATAAAACAATAAAATTATTTGCCTTGTTACTAATAATGCTTTTGTGCAATACACATATTCATTAAGGCAACTGATCGTGTTGGATTTACAATAAAAACTATATTAATTGTCTCTATAACAATCTATTTTATTCACCCAACTCAGTTTATAAACATCAATTAAATTCATTGTCACCAAGAATATGGTGGTCAAAGTTTACTGTTGGGAAGCGAAGGACAGTTTCGGTCATTTCGCTGTCAAACTGACAGACGATACTTATCTTAGCTTTTGGCCCTTAAATCAGTACGACATAAATGATGCTAATAATTTGCGACATACGGCATCAAGGTATCATGATGATTCAAACGAGGATAGGCTGGTTGAAGGTCGTGTACAGGATGAGATTATAGAGATACAAAAGGATCTTGATGAACAAAAAATTAAAGACTTTTGGGAGGCGAATAAAACTTCGACTTTTGGTATGTTTAATAACTGCGCGATCATGACCTTTAAGCTAATTGAGGCGGGTGGTATTGATGAAAATGATCCCGAGTAAGCAATTAAATTAACCGCCTTGGTATATAAATTTTCAATACATTGTGTTAATATTAATTTTATTTTTATAGTTATATGAGAGTTAAATCAAAGATGCGCGATACTATCATGGCAATCATGGTTGGGATCGCTAGACATGAGTCTAATAAAATGAACATGTTTACCTTTTTGCATAAATGGAAATATGTTACTACAACTATAAGTATTGCATTGATTGCCATTTGTATTACACTGTTTTGGTTTAAAAACTAATATAATCAAGTTGTTTGAGTAGTACCCTAAAAATTGGCACTGTTATATCAGTTTAATTATGCATTAAATATTATTTTTATAATTTGTTGTTTACTTTTTAAAATTGTATTTGAATTTTATGTCGAAATAAGATAATTATCTGTAATATCTTTATCATTCAAATTCCAAAATAAAATTTAATAACAATTGATTATTATAAGTGGAATTTATAAAATCAACCTGATCCCATTTCAAAACATGTCCCCAATTAACTACTGGTCTACTACATTATAATACAAACAATACAGAATTGTCATATTTAAAAACAATTAATTAATCACAGATTTAGAAACTCATTTGCCAAAATATTATTTATTAAAATTTATTATATATTTTTAATACAATTAAGTTGGTAATATATGAAGTGACCATTCAATCATTAGAAACAAGTAGAATTTAAAATGATATAATAAGAAATATTATGATTTAACACTAATTGAATGTTGTATATTAAATGAGCATTTAATTGAAACTGTAATTGTTATTATGAATTATTAAAATATTATATGATAAATTCACAAAATTTATCATGGGTTTAATTCAATTATCTTTATAATTTAATCTGTTTTGTGCTTAATGTTATACTAAATGTTCAGCTACACTTTTAAAAGTATTTAAGAGAATTTAGAGCACATGATCCTGATTATTCTCCAGAAGACAGAACATTTCTAGAGCAATTATTAGTAAATTAAAATTGATTTTCTGTGCAGCAAAAACTATAGTAGATAAAATTAATCTGATGACGGGACTTGAAAGATAATTCGAAATAAGCGAGTACCTATTTCAGGAATTTTATATTATCATTAAATTTCTTATTTATAATAATTATAAAAGTGTAAATTTTATACAAAATTATTTATTAGACATTAGTTTCTTAAATTAAAAATACAAATTCAATAATAATAATAATTTAATAGAGTAATATGATAGAAATATATAACAAATCATTTTAAGCAATAATTTAATGCAATAACTTATTCAGTTTAATTTATAACAGGGTAAAGAAAATGCTTTTATTTTTATAAAATCATGTCAATATTGTTTTTTTTTTAAATTGTTGTTTATTTAATTAAGGAATATTAACTTGTTAAATAGTATAACACAGCTAACTATAACTCTACTTTAATAACAATAGTGTCTAGTTAATTTTATTACATTATATTAATTGTATTACTAAATACTGTATCAGAACTGTAATTATTACGAAATATTCTTATAAATGTAACTGGTTTATTTTCAAATAACTTTTGGTCCATAAAATTGTTATGGTTTATTAAAAATAAATTACAGTTTACTTTTATTATTATTTTTATAATGATAATTATATTTTGATATTTAAATAATAATTATTGTTTAAAATACAATTTTAAATCTATCTATTACAAATATTCAAATAATATTACAAATAATTTAGAGAGCAAATTTCTCGCAATATTAAAACTGTAAATAAATATTTGATATTATAAATAATTACGTTAAGATTTTTAAAATTTAAATTATGGTTTAGCGATGATGTGAGATACAATAATTATTATTGACATTATTTTATTAACATTTTATTATATGAATCGTGAAATCAATTTTACAATATATTTATATAAGCTGCCAAACTGTAACTAATTAATTACATTTATGTAAATTATTACAAATATATTATAATTTTACATTTGGTTGAAAGTTACAACATTATTTTTAAATTTTTATAAAATAATAATTATATGGGTTTGACTTTAAAAACCCCCTCGTCGCCCTGTAGAGCTAGTTATATATTTAACCATTATTAACTATTAATTTATTATTAATTTTTTACAAAGTATTATAATATATTATATAGTTTAACGTGGAATGAGTTAATAATTTACTAATTATAATTGTAATCACATATTATTAGATCTCCCTCCCCATTTTGTGGTATTGAATTAAGAAAATTAATTAAATAAAGTTTTGTATGTTTATATCTAATAAATTTTAAAATGCACAATTATTTAAATGTATTAAAAGTGTAATTGATGTTTTTTGAACTAGTATTTCTGAAAAATTGATTCCGGTTACTAATAAATCAATATTTATATGCTGTTTCTATTAACATTATTAAAATTACGAAATATATTTGTTACTTATAATTTAATTAGTAACGTTAATTATTAAAATATTTATTTATAATTTCTGTCAAACTGTAACTAATTAATTATATTTAAATAAATTTATTACAAATAACTTTAGTTTTAGGAATTAATTTGTTTTTTAAAGTTTTTAAAATTAATAATCATTTTTAAGGCACTATTATAATTTAATAAATTTTATCCAGGGTTATCCAGCGTTTTTTGATACCCAGTCCAACCCTTCATACAGGCCCTCACCGGTGATCGCACAGGTACTCTGGATATGCCACCTATGAGTTCTCAACGTATGTAAGCCCATGCGCTCCGACACCTCCTCCATAGTCATAGCGTCGGGTTTATCCCGTTTGTTAGCCAACACCAGTACCACAGCATCCCGGAGCTGATCGTCCGACAGCAGTGACCAAAATATATCCCTGGCCTCACCAATGCACTCACGATCACTACTGTCCACCACAAACACCATACACTGTGTGTTATGACAGAAGTGTTTATATAGGGGGGCTATTTTGGAGCCACCACCAAGGTCCCATATATCGAACTCAATATTATTGTATGTAATAGTCTCGTGGTTGTACCCAGCGGTTGCAATTGTTTCAATGTGCTCCCCGGGACATTTGAGTTTATATGTTAACGTGGTCCTACCCACACCTACGAATGGGTAATTAGTTAATAATCTCAAGTTATCAATAATTAATTATTTATTGTGTACTCTATGTATGATAATAAATATTATTGTAATTATTTTGAGAATGCTTAAATATTCCGTAGAAATTGATTACATATTATTTATTCATTGTATATAAGTATGTGTAATAAATTATCAAATCCTAAATTATTTTATATTGATTATTTTTGTGATAAAACTTCTACTCAAACTAAAGTAATGTAAAGTAATGGTATATAAAATAGTTATATTTATATATTTTAGTGATTTAATAATTAATTGAATAAGCACAAGTTAATTGTTGTTACCATTTTAACTATTTTTTGAATAAGTAAGCGTTACTTACCCATTCCGGGAACTCCTATTAATACCAGTTTAATAGACTTTTGTGGCTTCTGGAATACCGTTCCCAATATATTACCCATAATTAAATGGATGTTTAAATCATATGAATAATTATTTATAAAACTATTAGTATTACTGTTACTATCTAGATTATAGATTCATTCACATTTTAAAAATCATTTAAATTATAAAATATAATATATTATTCATATGTTTGCTGTTCAGTGTTTAAACTGTATATGAGTACTACTGTACTGTAAGTATACGTGTATTTCCTATGTTTTGAAATATAATGAATACATTGCGTTACTTGTATGAATAAGTTGACAGATATAATGACTCACATACTACTCATTGTTGTAATTGTTATACTGTTTAATAAAATGTCATTGATACCACAGGTGAATAAAATATTTATAAAGTGTGTGTTTATGTGTGACACATAAGTATTGACAGTAGAGTTTGTATAATTAAGAAAATTAAAAATTAAAAAAGTATAATTGTCTTGCACAGTAGTGTTATTACTGTATTCACAAACTGAAAATTTTTTAAATAATAGTAAATAATAAAAATTTTAAAGTAATAAATTATAATATTTAGTTTCGAAAACACTATTTCTATTTTAGTATTTCTTAAGCATTTATTTATTTTTATCATTTTATACTGATTATGGATATGGAATAACCTTGAGCAAATTAAAGTAATGAGAATACAATCATTTTAAATATTGATGTTTACAAAAATGACTTATATCAATAAAAAGTATCTATAATATTTTTATAATATTTATAATAAAAAATGCTATCAAATTAACTCCCTATAGATATTTGACATCTATTATTATCATATCAAGTGTTATAAATTAAGTTTTCAACTGCAATACTGTTAGCAACCTAATTAGAAATTTGAATGTTTGACCTTGATTATTTTTAATTTCATATTATGCAATATATAGTATTATAAATATTACGGTATTTATTTATTCAAAAACTGTAAATTTTATAAATACTTGTAATTAAATAACTATTTTGAAATAAAAAATATTAAAAATGGACTGTGGGTGAGATATGCAAATTATTCACATTTTTGTCAGGCTTAAACATATATTTAGAATACTTTACAATGGTGAATCTTATACTAATCATATAGAAAACTTGATTTTAAAATTATGAACATAAGAATCATTATAAGATATTATTATTATTTACAAAATATCAATCACCTATATCTATAAAATAATAAAAGTCATTAAAACACAAATAACTATCGCTTTTTAACCACAGCCTGTGATAGCCAGTCCAGTCCCTCATACAGGCCCTCTCCGGTAGTCGCGCACACACTCTGTATATACCACTCGTGTGTCCGTAGTTTATGGAGATCCAGGCGCTCCGTAATCTGCGCTGCTTTTAGCGCGTCGGGTAAGTCCTGTTTGTTGGCCAACACCAGTACCACCACATCCCGGAGCTCGTCCTCAGCCAGCATCTCGTGCAACACATCCCGGGCCTCATCCATGCGCGCCCTGTCCGCGCTGTCCACCACAAAAATAATGCCCTGGGTGTTTTGAAAGTAGTACTTCCATAGGGGACGGATACGTGTCTGTCCGCCGACGTCCCATACCGTGAACGACAGGTTCTTGTAGGTGACTGTCTCCACGTTGAACCCGATGGTGGGTATGGTGGTGACCACCTCGCCCAATTTGAGCCGGTACAATACGGTGGTCTTACCGGCAGCATCCAGGCCCACCATTAATAGGCGCATCTGTTTTTGTTGATTGAATAGTCGCTGGAATACCGGTGCAAATATGTTGCTCACGATGTTACCCATAGTGTTGCGCGAAAAGTACCTGTCACATTTAATTGATGTATAGACAGGTATCAAAAGCGATATTTTAACTCTACTTTTATATGACTTACAGTACAGTTAAATATATTGATATGAAAGCAGTTTTAAAGTATACCTTTTGATTATTTAATACAAAAGTAGAAACTTTTAAAAAAAATTATTGTAAGTTATACTATAGTAGTAAGTAATTTAAAATAGATAAAACTTTTGATAAACAAAAAACATATGATTGAATACTTGTCAAAGTCACAATGTCACTTTAAAATATTTTATGTACTTCAACTTGTTTATGATGTTTACGTGCATACACTTGTGTGTGTGTATATATATGTGCAAAATCAGCAACGTGGAAAGTATTATAATTATTATCAATACATTGCACCATAAATAAGTAACTACATTTCATGACAAATATCTAAGTTATAAAAAGTTTATTATGCAGTAATAATAATATTTAGTTTATACAACTAGTTTTGATAAAATGATAGCTTATGTGGAAGTTATGCTATTTTGTTAAAATACGTGTATTTAATGTAATATTATTGTTGGTACAGAAAAATACTCATTCATTGTAAGCAATGTTACGAATAGATTGCATCAAAAATTCTTTTCAATGACTCATTCAATAGTAATTCATAATAACGTATAGAAAATGTTTTCATTGTTTTTATTCCTATAGTGATAGCAATTATCTTAATATTTTTTTATGTTACTTAATTATCTTATTTGTTAAAATTAATAAACATTTAATAATATCTTTATATAAAGAGACCACAAATTAAAACTGTAAATTATTAACGTAAATTATAGCAAATTATATAAACTATTTTAGAAATTAATTAATGGGACGGACTCTCAATTATTAATTAAACTTGATACATTTTTAATGTAATATATTAATTTTTATAATTTAACCTAAGATATAGTAAAATAAATATAATTTTTTAAACAAAATATTTATAATAAATTAACAAGAAACAATTTGTTTTACGTGTTAATACAAAAAAATATTAAACTATTATTCTGTGAATATAATTTTAAACTGTAATTTTTATTGTGTAAGAATGTAACTAACTCCTTTCGGTTTAATAGAAACACATTATTATTAGTGTCAGGTAACTTTAAAAATATAAATATAATTTTACTTTAACTAGCTAATGTTTATCTATAATTTATTTTATAGTCGTTGTAGTAATAATGACTGTAACCAATAATATTGATTTTTAAATTAATTTCAATAATTAAATTTTATGATGATTTTATTATTAATGGCAAACTGTACGTTTACTTTAATAATTCATATATACAATTAACAATATTTATTAAATATATAAATTGGTACTGGCTAGACTGGAACTACTTATTTTAAAAATAATTTAATAAAAATTCTACTTTGTTAATGAAATAATTAAAAGTTAAATAAAATCATTAATTATAATTATTAAATTATTAAATTGCAAAAATTATCACAATTTTATAACATTCGTATGGCTTTGACTTCTTCGCCCCG